TCTTCTGCTTCTGCATCAATATAAACTGAAACTGGCTGGTTGGCAACAGCCAGCAACAAAGCGATTTCGTCGTTTTGAGGCACTTGCTTGTACCCGGTTATAGTTATGGCACCGGAGGCAACATTATTGAAGTCATCCAAGCAAACGCCACCATCTACAGCCTTGTAAGGGTAGCCATCTTCAGTTGACAGGCTCATGTTGCGTTGGATCATGTATTCGAAGGCTTTCTCCACAAAACCACCATGGCAGCCATCATCTTCGAAACTAGTTGTACAATCGATAATCTCTTGTTCTGATAGCGAAATTAAGTTTCCTGTTATAATAGAGTTAAACCCTTCTACGACTGCCACTGTTGCGAAAGCCCAACAACTCCCTTTAACATCATGATATTGAGACAACAAACGTTCATAATTAAGCCATGATTGGATAGAGAAACAAGTAATGTATTTATATAAATAAATAAATAAAACTTAACATTAACAATTGCTTAAATGCATGATTCAACATAATAGTTAAATGACATAATGATTTTATATTATCAGATGTCCGAAAAGAAAGTATTAGACCATATAGATTAATCTTGCATGCTTACCACAATCATATCCTTGGTCCTTGACCGGGGTTACAGCACTTGTAGTCCAATCCCAGGAAAGTGGCACCACGGTTACATTTGCATATTTGAAAAATGTATTTGGACTTACTTTCATGGAGTTGGAGGTGATCACTTCTTTGGAGAGATGCTGCCTCACATTATATCCATTGCGCATTGCTCGAAGTTCCTCCTTCTTGAGATCCGCAAACTTATTGATGCTTAGTGTGTACTTCCTTCGGCCCTTGTTCTTGTTAAAAGCTTCTACAAATTCCACACTGGACTTGAAAATGTCGTAGCGCAGCTCCTTCTCCTGTGCATCCTTATACACTCGTCCATGTTTAGCCATCCACTCCTCAAATCTCTGGAGCATGATTTTGTCTTCGCCATAAAGCTGGCGACTACAAGATGCTTGAGAGGAGCAGAAGGCCAAAATGAGCACAAGAAAAAAGGCCAAACAGATGGATTGGCCTTGGTTTGTGATGAGCAGAGCCATGATTAAGTGGTAAACACCTACTCAGAGTCGAGAGGTACCTTAGTGTGTGTACTGATAACTTGCAAAATGGTCATGGGATTTTATACACGAAGACTTGTACGCGTGTAATAACTCCCAATATTAATCTATTTAATATCAAAAACACAGGTCCAGTAAAAGATAAAATTTCAAAACCTGGTATTGCAATCTTCTTATTTAATTTCAAATCCTTTTAAGGATATAAACAAATTAAATGGTAACCTTCGTCAAGGCCCAAAACTAATCTTTCCGATTTTGGTCTAACACTTTCTAAAACGTATATTTCATAGGTCAATGCTCAATGGGCTTAATTATACAAAAACGTGTGTTTTTACTTCAAAGAAATGCTTGAACAGAACACGATATTTCTTCATCATCTAGTTCCTTCCTCCGATCTCTCCCTCCCTTGTTGGGACACGTTTGCATTACTTGTAGGAAGAACGTTTTTGTTTTTGTTTTGAGGAAGAACATTGAAGAGCCAATCAGGCTCCAAAAACCCACAGGTTCCTCTAATCGTTGCAACAGTCCCGCCCCATGATCTTCCATTTTTATATTTCAGCCATCAAAATATGAACAAGAGATGTAAAAATCATATATTGCAAATGCAGTTTAGACGCAGTGAGCTCACCCCTTTGTACCCAAGTTCGAGTCTTCCTTTCTGTATATTATATTACTTTATAATAGTTTAGACCATCACTTGTATCAAGATAAAAACTATATATACTATGATTTTACAAGTTCATTTCAAATTGAAAAGATTAAACTTTGTTTAGTGAGGTTCTCGGTAAATCGAATTTCAATTTTTTATACACATAATTACAACCATCAATATTTCAATTAAAGAGAAATTTGAACAAACCCTCAAAATGTCAAACCCAAAATCTTCCACTTGTGCCCTGCCTGGCATGTCCATATCCAAACCCGGCCCAACCGCTGCCCATGATGCCGCAATCCTGGTTTGAAATTACTGAAACTTTAGTTGCCTCCC